GAGACAGGGTCTCCCTGTAGCCCCAGCAGGCCTAGAACTCGCTATGTAGACCAGGCTGGCCTCGAACTCACAAAGATCCGCCTGCCTCTGCCTCCCAAGTGCTGGGATTAAAGGCGTGCGCCACCACGCCTGGTTGTTTTTTGTTTTTTTAATATTTTATTTGGGACTGAGAAATGGCTTAGTGGGTAAGAGCACTGGCTGCTCTTGCAGAGAATCTGGGTTCAGCTCTCAGCACCCACATGACAGCTAAACTATCCTTAAAAATTCCAGGGGAGGGGGGCTGGAGAGATGGCTTAGCGGTTAAGACCAGTGACTGGGGCTGGAGAGATGGCTCAGGGGTTAAGAACACTGGTTGTTCTTGCAAAAGACCTGGGTTTGAATCCCAGCACCCACATGGCAGCTGACAACTGTCCATAACTCCAGTTCCAGGGGATCTGACAGCCTGTTCTCTCTTCCATGGGCATTACATAACATGAGAGAGATGGCTCAGTGGTTAAGAACACTGACTTGTCTTACAGAAGACCTGGATTCAAATCCCAGCACCCACATGGCAGCTGACAACAGTCAGTAACTCCAGTTCCAGGGGCTCTGACAGCCTCTTCTGTCCTCCGTGGGCATTGCACAACACGGGTGCCCTTACCTACATGCAGGCAATACATGCGTATACATAAAATAAAAATTAAAAAAATTAAAAAATAAAAATTTCAGGGGAGGACTGGAGAAATGGCTCAGTGGTTAAGAGCACTGACTGCTCTTGCAAAGGACCTGGGTTCGATTCCCAGCACCCACATGGTGGCTACGAACCATCTCCAGAGGAATCTGAAACCCTCTTCTGACCTCTGAGGGCATTGTATGACATGGGTGCACCTACCTACATGGAGGCAATACACTCATACTCGTAAAATTAAAATAATAAAATATATATATTGGTCTTGAGACAGGGTCTCCCTGTAGCCCCAGCTGGCATAGAACTTACTATGTACACCAGGCTGGCCTTGAACTCACAGAGATCCACCTTCCTCTACATCTGGAGTGCTGGGATTAAAAGCATATGCCATCACACCCGGCCTTTATTATTTTTATTTTCTGAGGTCAGAAGAGGGTTTCAGATTCCTCTGGAGCTGAAGTTATAGACTGTTGTCAGCCACCATGTGGGTGCTGGGAACACAACCCGGGTCCTCTGCAAGAGCAGCCAGTGCTCTGAACTGCCGAGCCATCTCTCCAGCCAGTGTTGCACTGTTTGACCTCCATTTGATGTTTCTTTCCTGCCACCCCTGCAGAGCCATCCTGGGCTCCAGCCCCGACCCCACAGTCTGAGAAGAACCCTGGCCCTAAGGCCACAGGGGAGACCACCAGCAAGGAGCCCACCAAACCAGAGGCCTTGCAGGAGTCAGAGGAGGCTGGGGGTGCAGGTAAGCAGACACTTGTACAGAGGGAGGGGACCTGGGACAGCTGGAATGTACTGTACATGGAGGGACACTCATCCTACCTGTTTCCTAGGTGGAGTCCCCTTAGGAGTGCAGTCCATCATGAAGAGGACAGATGAACCTGCAGACCCCACTGCCCACCACAGGAGCCTCCAGTTTGTGGGGGTCAATGGCGGGTAAAAGGATCCCCCAAGTCCCTCACCCTGTGGTATTTGGGATGGGAAATTGGCCTGTCACTGAAGACCAGCCCAGCCAGGCCCCTGAATCAAAGCACAGTAGAAAGAGGAGGAAAGTGAGGACAGTGAAATTGGGCACATTGCCAGAGCTCACTTAGCAGCTCAGGGTCCTGTCCCGACTTCAGACTGTGGGTCCCACTGTGCTCCCAAAGGAACTTGATTCAGCTCACTGTCCCAGTAGAGCTTTACAGGCCCAATGGACAATGATGAGCAACAGTTCTCATATGGTGTGCTTAGAAATCGGGGCAGCAGGCGCTCGAAGGCTGAGGCTGTGGTTCAGGTAACAGAGTGCTCACCTAGCATGCAGAAAACCCTGGACTCCATCCCCAGCAGCACAGAAACCAGATGTGCTGGGGGATTGTGCCTGACATCCTAACACCTGAGAGGTGGAGGCAGGAGGATCATGAGGTCAAGGTCATCTTTAACTGCCTACAGAGATGCTTAACCATAGAGGAGCATCACAGGGGACACACAAAAAGGCCAAGGGCAGGGGCTCAGCATTAGAGCCCCTGCCTAGAATTCCCCAGTGAAGGACTGGGGGTGTGGGTCATTGGTAAAAACATGCCTGGAATCCCCCAGTGAGGGGCTGGGAGAGAGCTTAGGGACAGTTACTTGCCTAATGTGGAGTACCCTGGGTTTATCCCCAGCACCACAAAGCAGGGAGAAACTGAGGCCAGAGAAGTCAAACTGTTCCATCAGACATTCCTGTGTATTCACCACCACCATCCTCAGGTATGAGTCATCCTCAGAAGATTCCAGCACAGCTGAAAACTTCTCAGACAACGAGAGCACTGAGAACGAAGCCCCAGAGCCACCAGCCAGGGTTCTAACCACAGCCGAAGGCCCTCAGCTCAGGCCTCTGGGGCCCACCGGCAAGACCAGCTGGCAAGAATGCCAGCTTTCTCGGGAATCTCAGTATGTACCCACAGCAGAGGCAGCATCGGGATCCAACTCAGAGGAGGAAATCCGGTTGGTTGTCTGAGTGGGTAAAGGGTGGGTGGGCTCCAGCCTGGAATCCTGCCATCAGGCCTTCTTACCAGTCACTTCCATCATAGCAAGCGCCTGTTCCTTTTGAACATGGCGCCTTCTGGAAGTTTGTTATGTTTTATTTTTGTGACAAGGTCCTATAGTCCTGGCTGGCCTGGAACTCCCTATGTAGACCAAGCAGGCCTCAAACTCAAGAGATTCTCCTGCCTCTGCTCCCTGAATGCTGGGATTAAAGGTACACACCATTACAGGGCTCTTTATATACTTTTTATGTAGAGACAGGTCTTGCTAGAAGTTGCCCAAGCTGGTCTTTAACTCATTCTGTATCCCAGGCTGCCCTTGAACCTGCAATCCTCCTGCCTCCATCTATAGAGTAGCTGGGAATCCAAGTGAGTGCCACCAGCTCTGGCAATAAACTTGCCTTTAGCCACGTGTGGTTGCCACACACCCAAGATCCCTGCACTCAGGAGGTGGAAACAGGATTAGAACCTATCTCAAAAAGGAAAATAAGCCAGGTGTGGTGGAGCATTGCCTTTAATCCCAGCAGTCAGGAGGCAGAAGCAGGGGCATTCTCCGTAGTTGGGGCTACAGCGAAATTGTAATAAATAAATGGTACAATAACATAAACTTCCTCTTGTCTTCTACTGGCAGGATGGAGCTCAGTCCTGACCTTATATCAGCCTGCCTGGCCCTGGAGAAATACCTGGACAACCCCAACGCCCTCACAGAGCGTGAGCTGGTATGGTTGAGCCCCAGGCCCAAGGGCACACTCCATCCCTGTTGTGCCCACTTCCCTCACCCTTGGAGTTCCTCTGTACCTACCCAGAGAGGATCCAGGCATCCAAGGGTGTAGCTTAGTGGTGGATTGGGCTTGAGTTCGGGTACTGGGAGTGGGGTCCACAGTTGCCCAAGGACCCAACCTGGCCTAGGGTTTGTATTTTGGGGGTGTTAGGGAGGATGGCATACTTTTTGGGTTTTTTTGTTGTTTTGTTTTTGGTTTTTTTTTTTGGTCTTTTTGAGACAGGGTCTCCCTGTAGCCCCAGCTGAGCTGGAACTCACTATGTAGACCAGGCTGACCTTGAACTCACAGAGATCCACCTGCCTCTGCCTCCCAAGTGCTGGGATTAAAGGAGTGCGCCACCATGCCCGGCCCCATGCTTTTGTTTTTTGAACTTTACCTATAATTGATTGTCTTTGAAGATCATATCTAGGACTGAGCATACACTTCCCTCCAAGGGACAGAAGTGTCTACACCTCTCCTTAGTATGTCTATACTGCTGTCAAGGGTGAAGGGTACTATGAAGGGTGCCATAGCTTTTTGGGATTTGTTTTTCTTTTCTTTTTGTCTCCTCTTTTTTGTGGGGGGATATATGGCCCAGATGGGCCTTAAAGTCACTGTTTAGCAGAGGATAACTTTGAACTCCTGATCCTCCTGCCTCTACTCGCTGAGTGCTAGGATTTCAGGTGTGTACCACTACACCTTGTTTGTGTGGTGCTGGGGATGGAACCAAGGGCTCTGTGCATACCAGGCAAGTGCTCTACCCACTGCACCACAGCCCAAGTCCCTTGTTTTGTTTTGAGACAGGGTCTCTTTATAGCTCCAGCTAGTCTGGAACTTACTATGTAGACCAGGCTGGCTTCAAACCCACAGAGATCTGCCTCAAACTCAATAGAGACTCAGCTTCCTGTCCTCCCAAGCGCTGGGATTAAAGGCATGTGCCACCTGGCCTGTCCTTTTGTTTGTTTATTTTTATTTTATGAGTGTTTTACCTACATGTATGTAAGTGCACCACATGCATGCATTGCCCAAAGAGGCCAGAAGAGGACGTTGGATCCCCTGGAACTGGAGTTATAGATAGTTGTTAGCTGCCATGTGGGTGCTGGGAACTGAACCCAGGTCCTCTGCAAGAGCAGACAGTGCTCTTAACCGTTGAACCATCTCTCCAGCTTCCGTTTTTTGATTTTTGAGCCTTGCTGTGTAGCACCAACTGGCTTCTAACTGGTGGTGACCCCCTGCCTCCACCTCCAGAGTGCTGGGATCACAGACAGGCACCTCTTCCTCTACTCCCAGCTTATTTTATTTTATGTATATATTGTCTGCCCCACCTGGCCTGGAACTCTCTATATAGACCAGGGTGACCTAGATCATGCTTGGCTTTCACTTTTGGGCTTGGTTTTGGGTTTTTTTTTATTTATTTATTTATTTTTCTTATTTTATGTGTACAAGTGTATTGCCTGCATGTGTGTAAGTACACCCATGTTGTGCAATGCCCAGGGAGGTCAGAAGAAGGTATCGAATTCCCCTGGAACTGGAATTATCGACAGTTGTTACCTGCCATGTGGGTCCTGGGACTTGAACCCGGGCCCTCTGTAAGAGCAGCCAGTGCTCTTAACCAATGACCCATCTCTCCAGCCCTTTAGGCTTGGTTTTTGTTTGTTTGTTTTTAATATTTTACTTATTTTTATTTTATGTGAATGAGTGTATTGCCTGCTTGTATGTAAGTGCACCCGTGCCGTGCAATGCCCTTCAAGGTCAGAAGAGAGTGTTGAATTCCCTGAAACTGGAGTTATGGATGGTTGCTAGCCACAATATTGGTGGCTGCAAGAGCAGTCAGTGCTCTTAACCAATGACTCATCTCTCCAGCCCCCTCAGCCTTGGTTTTTTTGAGATAACTTCTCAGTAAGTATCCCAGTTTGGCCTTGAACTCACATCCTCCTGCCTCAGCTCCTGAGTGCCAGGGTCACAGACTTGTGCCCTACTGCCCAGCTTAGGGTGTCCCTGTTTGTGCCTCAAGGTGGGTCTGTGAAGAAGGGGTGGCCTGTCCCTGTCCTCACCCTGCCTGTCTCTACTGCAGAAAGTGGCTTACACTACAGTGCTCCAGGAGTGGCTGCGTCTGGCCTGCCGCAGTGATGCACACCCAGAGCTGGTGCGCCGACACTTGGTCACCTTCCGAGCCATGTCTGCTCGACTGCTAGACTACGTGGTCAACATCGCCGATAGCAATGGCAACACCGCACTGCACTATTCTGTGTCACATGCCAACTTTCCTGTGGTGCGACAGCTACTGGACAGTGGTAAGCAGGCAGGACCCAGCCTGGTGGTTAGATGACATAGTCAGCTTCCCAGGCTTACCCTCCTGGTCTGACAGGAAGATGCTCCCCTCCTTGGGTGGTGGGCGGGGACTGCAGCCCTTAGAGTCTGATGAAGGAAGCACCACCTTTCCAGTTTATTAGAGGAGGTTCAATTCTCCAGTCTGATGGAGGAGGCTTTGCCTCCCCATGTGCTGGGAGACTCCTTCAGCACTATGCTGGAAGGCATACTGGTGTCCCAACACTGGCCTAGCCTGCTTAGCTCCAAGCCAGTCTGGGACCCCGTCTCAAAACACAAGGTCGGGGCTGGTGAGACAGCTCATGGATAAAGTGGTTTTTATGCAGACATGAGGACCTGGATTTGGATTCCCCCATCACCCATGTTTTAAAAAAAACTGGATATGGGGCCTGTGCTTATAATCTTAGGCTGGGGCCGGGCGTGGTGGTGCACACCTTTAATCTCAGCACTCGGGAGGCGGGAGCAGGTGGATCTCTGTGAATTCAAGGCCAGCCTGGTCTACATAGTGAGTTCCAGGACAGCTGGGGCTACAGGGAGACCCTGTCTCAAAAAGACCAAAAATAAATAAATAATAATCCTAGGCTTGGGGTTGGGGGTGGAAACAGAAGGATCTCTGGAGCTCACTGGCCAGCCAGTCTAGCTGAATTGGTGAGACCCTGAACCTGAACCCTGCCTCAAAATATAAGATGGGTGACTTAGGGGTTAAGAGCACAAACTGCTCTTGCAGAGGACCTGAGTTCAGTTTCCAGCACTCATGTCAGGCAGCTCATAGCAGCCTGTGACTTCAGCACTGCACTTGGTGTGCAGAAACCCAGACACACATACAAATAATTAAAAATTAATAATATACTGGGTGTGGTGCCCAGCACTCATGAGACAGAGGCAGGCAGGTCTCTGTGAGATCAAGGCCAGCCTGGTCTACATAGTGAGTTCTAGGCCAGCTGGGGCTACAGAGAGACCCTGTCTCAAAAAGGGCATGGTGGAGTGTAATCCCAGCTCTGAGGAGGCAGAGACAGAAGCTCCCTGCCCAGCCAGTCTAGCCAATCAGTGAGCTCCATGTTCATTGAAAGACTAAAAAAACAAGGTGGAGAGCAATTGAAGAAAACACCTGACTTCAACCTCTGGCCTCTACACACATGCACAGGTGCACAAAAATCACACACACATACATATATACTATACACACACCTGGTTTATTTTTTTTATGTGAGTGCACCTGTGTCATGCAATGCCACGGAGGTCAGAAGAGGGCTTTGAATTCCCCTGGAACTGGAGTTAAGGACAGTTTGTAGCCGCCACATGGGTGCTGGGAATTGAACCCAGGTCTTCTGCAAGAGCAGTGCTCTTAACCGCTGAGCCATCTCTTCAGCCCCCTACATGAAGTTTCTTCAAAAGCAAGGGGGCATTGAGGTGGTTCAGCAGGCAAAGGTGCTCACTACCAAGCCTGACCACTTGATTTCAATCTCCAGGACACAGGTGGTGGAAGGAGAGAACAGATTCCTGCAAGTTGTCCTCTGATCTCCACATGCAGTAGCCATCTACCTCATAATAAATAAATAAATTAATTAATTAATTAATTAACTAATTAATTAAATGAAATAAAGGGTGGCTGGGCAGAGTGGGCACACCTTGAATCCCAGCACTGAGGAGGCAGAGGCAGATGGATCTCTGTGAGTTCCAGTCCAGCCTGGTCTATGTAGTGAGTTGCAGGTCAGCCAAGATACATAGTGAGACCCAGTCTCAAAAAAAAAAAGGCGGATGGCTCTTGAGGGTTGAACTCTGGCCTCTACACAGGTGTGTACACATGGACATGAAGGCTTCAACACACAGGGAGGGGGCAAGGCTGCCAGTGGTTGTCAAGGCTCACACCCATCCCGTCCCACCCTCCCACACAGGTGTTTGTCAGGTGGACAAGCTGAACCGTGCCGGCTACAGCCCTATCATGCTCACTGCCCTGGCCACCCTGAAGACCCAAGAGGACATTGAAACTGTCCTCCAGCTCTTCCGGCTTGGGGACGTCAACGCCAAAGCAAGCCAGGTACAGGGTTGCTGCATACCTAGGTGGCCTTCGTTCCTTTATTATTTATTTATTTATTATTTGTTTTTTATAATTATATTTATTAGGGTGAGGGCACTTGTTCCACAGCGCAGTATGGAATCAGAGGACAACTTGCGGGAGTCAGTTCTCTCTTTCTGCCAGGGATTGAACTCAGGTTTTCAGGCTTAGCAGCAAGCTTCTTGACTCACTGAGCTATTTTGACAGCCTGTTCTTTTTAGTGTTTTGAGACAGGGTCTCATACAGCCCAAACTGGCATCAGTAAACCTAGAACTCCATTCACCTAGACTCACTCCCCAGAGCCCTCCCAGTGCTGTGAGGACAAGCACATGCCACCATGTCCAGCTTATTTTCACAAGGGTTCTGAGGATGAAACTCAGGCCTTCCTGCTTGTAAGGCAAACGCTTTCCCTATCGAATTACCTCCCCAGTCCTGTTTATTTGTTTGTTTGTTTGTTTATTTATTTAATTTTATTTTTTCTGTTTGTTTTTTTGAGACAAGGTCTCCCTCTAGCCCCATTTGGCCTGGAACTTGCTATGTAGACCAGGCTGGCTTCGAACTCACAGAGATCCACCTTCCTCTGCCTCCCAAATGCTGGGATTAATAGATTAATAGGCGTGCACCACCATGCCTGGCCCTCTTTTTACTTTTTTTTTTTTTTGTCTTTTTGAGACAGGGTCTCTCTGTAGCTTCAGCTGAACTGGAACTCACTATGTAGACCAGGCTGGCCTCGAACTCACAGAGATCTGCTTCCCAAGTGCTGGGATTAAAGGCGTGCGCCACCACACCCAGCTACTTTTTAATCTTTAATATTTTATTACTTTTAATTTATGTGTATTACCTGTATGTGTGCAACTGCATCCGCATCATACACTTACACACATACGAAGGTCAGAAGAGTGCGTCGGATCCCCTGGAACTGGGGTTATAGACATTTGTTAGCTGCCATGTGGCTGCTGGGAACCAAATCCAAGTCCTCTGCAAGAGCAGCCAGTGCTGAGCCATCTCTCTAGCCCCCTACATTTTAATTTAAGACAGGGTCCCACCGAGTTGCCCCGGCTGGCCTTGAACTGCCCCGGCAGACCTCTTCTATGTGATCCACCTTCCTCAGCCTCCTGAGTACCGGGGTCACAGCCTGTCACAGGCCTTTGAATTTTCATCTCTTTTCCTTTTTCTTCTTCCCTCCCACTTTCCTATCCTCCCTTCTTAGTTTTTCCTTTCCTTTTACAGAGGTGCTGCGTGCTTGTCATCCCAGCACTCTGGAACTAGAAGCAGGAGATTTAGATGTTGAAGATCATCCTCAGCTATATAGTGAGTTCCAGAACATCCTGTGTAGCCAGGGCTGGCCTGGAATTCACCGTATAGACTGAGTGCTGGGATTAAAGGCATTGAACCACTATTCCTGGCTAAAGGTCTAAGTAATCTATCGTGTGTTTAGACCTCAGTTTGTATTATCTATTCATCCACTGTTGAACACTAGTTTTTAACTGTTTATCGAGATGTAACTGATACACAGAAATGTATACAGATCTTAGTTGGATACATTTTTATATATATTTATACCTATGAGTTGGGAATCTATGGTAGGTGAGCATCCAGGTGGATCCAGCCAGGGAGAACTTGGTGAGGTAGAACTGTGTAAGCTGAAACCTTGGGGACAGGGAGCCAGTGAAGGAGGAACATACGGCAGAGTCTACGTGGTTGAAAGGGATTGTTTAACCTGTAAATTGGGGTTGGAGCACCTGGAGAGCTGGCTAAGCAGTTAAGAGCACTGGCTGTTCCTACAGAGGGTTCGATTCCCACCCACGTGGCAGCTAACAACCTTCCAACCATCCGTAACTCCAATTCCAGGGAATCCAACTCCCTCTTCTATCCTCCACAGGCATGGCACACATGGGTACATGCAAGCAATACATTCATACATATAAAATAAAAGTAAGCCGGTATGGTGGCACATGACAGTAGGATATGCTGAAGAGACAGAGGCAGGAGGACCGGGAGTTCGAGGCCAGCTTGGGCTATACATTTTTAGCTGGGCATGGTGGCGCACGTCTTTAATCCAATCCCAACACTTGGGAGGCAGAGGCAGGCGGGTCTCTGTGAGTTCAAGGCCTACCCGGTCTACATAGTGAGTTCCAGGACAGCTGGGGCTACAGGGAGACCCTGTCTCAAAAAAACAAACAAACAAACAAACAAAAAAAATTAAAAATTAAATAAAAGTAAATTAATTTAGGGCCTGGAGCTTAGCAATTGAAAGCACTGACTTCTCTTGCAGAGGACCTGGGTTCAGTTCCCAGCACGCACATGGGAGCTAACAACTCTCCGTGACTCCAGTTCCGGGGGTCTGACGCCTACTTCTGACCTCTCTGGACATTACACGACATGGGTACACTTACATACTTTCAGGCGATACATTCGTACATATAAAATAAAAACAAATATTTTAATAAATAAATTTAAAAGAAAAAGAAGTGGGGGAGGCATGTTAATGTCAGAGTACTTGGGAGCTGTGGTTGGTTCCAGAGCAGGAGTCTGATACCGTGGAGCCTCTGTAGACCATAACCCTATTCCCTTGTTACCCCAGGCAGGACAGACAGCCCTGATGCTCGCAGTCAGCCATGGTCGGGTAGATGTTGTCAAAGCACTGTTGTCCTGTGAGGCAGATGTGAACGTGCAGGATGAGGATGGCTCCACGGCCCTCATGTGTGCATGTGAACATGGACACAAAGAGATCACAGGGCTCCTGCTGGCGGTGCCGAGCTGCAACATCTCACTAGCAGACCGCGTGAGTCCCCACACAGGCTCCCAGGGGGCATGGATTGCACCCAGGGTTGTCGCCATAGCTGAATTTCTTTTTTTAATTATTTATTATTTTAATTTTATGATGAGTGTATTGCCTGCATGTTAACCACCTTGTGGGTGCTGGGTCTTCTGCAAGAACAGCCGGTGCTTTTAACTACTAAGCCATATCTCCAGCCCTTATAGCTGAGTATTCTTTGCAGGATGGGAGCACGGCACTGATGGTGGCCCTGGATGCCGGGCAGAGCGAGATTGCATCCATGCTGTACTCTCGAATGAACATCAAGTGTTCAGTGAGTCCCCATCCCTGCTCGGGAGGTGGGGCTCAGTGGTAGGAGAGTCCCTGCCTAGAATCCCCCAGTGAGGGGCTGGGAGCATGCCTCAGAGATGAAGGGAGCCCCTGCCTAGATTCCCCTAGTGAGGCGCTGGGGATCTGGTTCGGTGATAGAGTCCCTGCATAGAATCCCCCAGTAAGGGGCGTCAGGGTGTCATTCAGAGACAGTGCCCCTGCCTAGAATTCCCCAGTGAGGGGCTAGGTGCATGGCTCATAGGTGGAGCCTATGCTTAGAACCCCCCAGTGAGGGGATGGGTGCATGGCTCATAGGTAGAGCCCCCTGCCTAGAATCCCCCAGTGAGAGGCTGGTGGGTTGCTCAGCAGTGGACTTACACTATCTTGTAAGCATCATTTCTTGAACCCTCCACAATAATATTGTTTTTCTAAAATATTTTTTTAAAAAGGGACTGGAGAGATGACTCTGTGGTTAAGAACACTGACTGTTCTTGCAGAAGACCCACATTCGGATCCCTCCCAGCACTGACATGGCACCTAATAACTGTCCATAACTCCAGTTCGAGGGGATCCGACAGCCTCTTCTGTCCTCCTCGGGCATTGCATGACACGGGACACTTACCTACATGCAGGCAATAGACACACATAAAATAAAAATAATAATAAAATATTTTTTAAAATATTGTTTTTCATAAAACAATATTTTGGGTTTTTGTTTTTCCTTAATATTTTATTTATTATTTTTATTTTATGTGTATGAGTGTATTGCCTGCACATGTGTAGGTACACCCATGTCGTGCAGTGCCCACAGAGGTCAGAAGTGTTGTGGGATCCTCTGGAACTGGATTTACAGATGGTTGTTAGCTGCCATGTGGTTGCTGGGAACTGAGCTTGGGTCCTCTGCAAGAGCAGCCAGTGCTTTTAACTGCCGAGCCATCTTTCCAGCTCCAAGGGTTTTGTTTTGTTTTTCAAGACAGGGGTTTTCCCATGTTATCTGAGTTTGCCTCAAGATTATGATCCTCCTGCCTCAACTTCCTGAGTGGCTGAGGTCACATGACAACCTTTCTCACTGCTCCTTTGATCCTGCCCCAGGGCCTTTGCACTGGCTGTTCCCCCATAATTCATGCTGCCCCTCTCCTGGGTAGGCTTCTTGACTTGGTCCAGGGCTCAGTGCAGAGGTCTCCCTCCCTCATCCCTAGTCTCTACTGTCATCCCTTGCCATCTCTTCCCCCACCTTCATGTGACAAGGTGCAATTTTTCTTGAAGGCCAGGGACCTCAACCCCCCCTCTAGATCCAGAGCAAGTTTCCTCCCCAGAAGGATTTGAAAGGACGCCAAAAAAGAATTTCTTCCTCTCATTTGCAGTTTGCCCCAATGTCAGACTACGAGAGTCCAGCGTCATCGTCGGCTGAAGAATAAATAGAAGGGAGAGGCCAGAAGAGCCCCAGTGGAGGCTCAGCCCCAGAGCCAACCATCCATCCTCCTCCTTTCTTGTCTCTGTCTTGTCTGTCCTGGAACATCCCCCCTCCCCCAGCCCAGTTCTCCTGCTCCTCCTTCTACTTTCCCCAGGGGCGCTCCAACATCCACCAGATATCAGCTCCAAGAGGCCTTTTCCCAGCTCCAGGTTCAAAGCCACAACTGCCAGAAAGCCAAGCTACTTTGTCATTGGAATAGGCGTCTGTGGCTGACGCCAGGGTGTGGGTTTTTTTTTAATGGAGGACATGAAAAACAGTCCGCCAGCAATTGTGGGAGGAGTGGGGGCAAGAAAGGGAAAAATAATGTATTTTTGCATCATTGTCAGGGGAGGAGGGAATCTGGAGTTGCCAAATTCCAAGGTCACTGGAATGCTCTATTCCTCTGTTCTTAGCATCCTGAATGTTAGTAAGCAAGAGGCCCTGCCCACTGCCCTTTCTCAGCCACATTGCATTGTCTAGTGTATAATACAGTTTTGTCCACTGACTCCACCACCACCACCCCCAAGCAGCTTTCTGGGGTGGCGGTTGTCTCTCCTGGTTGCTTCACTAAACAAGTTCTGTCCTTCCCAGGCCACCCCTCATTCAGGTAAAATTGGCAATTTTTATTACCTGTATCCCCCAAACACATTCAGGTTGGGGGCTCAAGACCCTGCAGCCCTGGTAGCTTTTGTGACTTGTTACTGACTGATTCCCAAGGAGAAAATGATGCAGACACCCCCACGGGGAATAGGGAAGCTTGACACACGGAAACTTTTCCTAGAAAATCTTCCAAACCTACAGAGGAAAAGAAAAAAAGCCAGTTGTCAGAGTAGCCCCCAGCATCCAGAGCCCAGAACTGCAGTAAGTCACAGGGCTGTCCTTTTCCTGTTCCAGAATTTCTCTCCTCAAATGAAAGTAAACAGAGTATGCAATACTGACTAAGCCTGGGGGGGCGTTCCAAAGCCCATGTGTGCCCGATTATAATTTGGCTGGCCTCAGAGAATGCCTAGTGCTAGTTTAAAGAGACAGGCTTTGCAGAAAATCAAACAAGGGCTAGCTGGAGTTTTTGTTGTTTTGTTTTTGTTTTAAGAAGGGAAAAAAACATTTCCTGGAATTTCCCGGGACAGAGCCTCTAGGAAACGGCACAACATACCGGCTACAATTTCCTTCTTCGTGGCTTTATTTCTTCCCTCTCCACAGTCTCAACACGATTTTCTTTCTTGTTCCTGTTCTTTATAAGGAAATGGCTTCTAAATGTGCCTTGAGATGGGGAGGAAGTGCCCTGCCAAGCATGTGTCCTCCCCTTTCCCATCCCGTTTCTCTGGGCCCACAGGGCTTTGAAGCCAAACGTCAGCAGGGCAGAGTTGAGGCTTGTGAACCGAAGGAAAGGGCTAGCCTCTCTCCTGGACCAGTAGGCTTACGGGCTTGATGGACGGACACTTGTTTGCTTTGAGTTTTGGTGAAGGGAGTTGTCTGAGATTTTAAGGTGGTATAAGAAAACAAGATGGGTGGGTGGTTGAATGGATGGATGAGTGACTAGGTGGGGGTTGGATGAATAGATGAGTGGATGGACTGGCAGATGAAGGATGGATGAGGAATAAATGGATGGATGGAGAGACAAAAGCAGTATGTATGTGTGTAAAACAAAACTCAAGCTGACTGGAGACAGCTGCTGGTGTCTGAGGGAGGCTCACAGCCTAGGGCAGCTTCAAAAGTCGGTAGTCAAGCTGAAGCACTAGCATCTCTGATCCCCAAGTGCATGACCCTTCAGATAAGTCCATGTCACTCTGCTGCTGCTTCTCCCTGTGGGTTGCCAAGGCCAGATGCTGGTCCCTGTTCTCTTCTCACTTATACTCAAGAGTTTTAATGTCACTTTGTGACTGCGGTACGTCCATAAAGACAGTATTACACATAAATGAAGTATTCTCTTTTTGTCATCATTTCTTAGACGGTAAAAGGACTTAATAAATCCACAGATAATGCTGCTGCCTTTGTGTCTTTTTTCCCTTTTTTTTCAAGGCAGAGTCTCATGTAGCCCAGGCTGGCCTTGAACTCTACATAGCTGAGGATGACCTTGAACGTCTGGTCCTCCTGCCTTCAATTCCCAAGTGCTGGGATGACAGGCATGTATCACCATGCCAGATTGACGTGGTGCTGGAGATGGACCCCAGGGCCTCAGGTGTGCTAGGTGAGCGCTGTACCCACTGAGCCCTAGCCCTCTGCTTCTTATTGAGTTTCTTGCTATCTTTTTGTGTGTGTAGAGTGCTGGAGATTAAACTCAGGTCCTTATGCACTCTAGGTAAGAGCTCTGCTGCTGAGCTACACCCCAGCCCATCATTTAGCAATTCTTAACTTTTTTTTTTGGTCTTTTTGAAACAGGGTCATAGCCTCAGTTGGCCTGGAACTCACTATGTGGACCAGGCTAGCCTTGAACTCACATAGATCCACCTGCCTCTGCCTCCCGAGTGCTCGGATCAAAGGTGTGTGTATGAGTATTGCCTGCATATGTGGAAGTGCACCTGTGCTGTGCAGTACTCACGGAGGTCAGAAGAGGATGTCAGATCCCCTGGAACTGGAGTTACAGATGGTTATTAGCTGCCATGTGGGTGCTGGGAACTGAACCCAGGGCCTCTGTAAGAGCAACCAGTGCTCTTAACCACTAAGCCATCTCTCCAGCCCCAACTTCAGGTTTTCAGAAGTGCAAGTCTCACATTTTGCCAATATGAACTGAATTGTGTGTATACACACACACACACACACACACACACACACACACCACACACACTCCACACATTCTTATGTTGAAGTCTCAACCCTTGATGTTTTATCCCAGAATCTAAAGTCATCTGCTCACAGCTTTAAGGAAAAACAGAGACAGGAGCTGGTAAAAGGAAATGGGCTAGCTGGGTGTGGTGTGGTGGTGCACGCCTTTAATCCCAGCACTTGGGAGGCAGAGGCAGGCGGATCTTTGTGAGTTCAAGGCCAGCCTGGTCTACATAGCTGATCTTCGTGAGTTCCAGGACAGCTGGGACTACAAGGAAACCCTGTCTCAAAAACACAAAAAGTAAATAAATAAGTAAATAATAAATAAATAAATAAATAAATAAGGAAATGGGCTTATTCACAGTTTTGGCCAGAGCTGGGAAGAAGGAAAAACAAATCTCAGCTTGCTACCTGGCCTGGTGGCAGCATTCCCATTTATAGAGAAGACTGAACAGGACCCGGGAATACACAGATATAGATGGGCATTGGCAGGAAATCATCTTTTCCTCTCTGGGCAATTCTGCTTCAGGCAATTTTCACCCGCACCCTCAATCCCATCCCTGCCTTGGGATTTCCTAGTCACGTTTTTAACCCCTTAGGGTTCCTGTTACCTTGTTACAGTACATCAATTAGGAGGCAGGGCCTGTAGGGGATCACTAGGTTCAAGTGGGGTCACAGGCAAGGGTCCCCATGATGGCTAGCTGGTGTTGTGGCTCATGTCTTTAATTCCAGCACTTGGGAGGCATGGCAGATGGAGCTCTGTGAGTTGGAGGCCAACCTGGCCTACCTAGGAAGTTCCAGGCCAGCCAGGCTACATAAGACCCTGTATTAGAAAAAAAAGTTGGCTCAGTGGTTAAGAGCACTGACTGCTCTTTCAGAGGACCCAGGTTTGATTCTCAGCACCCACATGGCAGGTAACACCCATCCATAACTCGAGTTCCAGGGGACTCCAGTGCTCTCTTCTGACCTCAGTGGGCATTGCATGACACAGGACATGGGTGCACTTACACGCAGGCAATATACTCATACACATAAAATGCAAATAAATAAAATATTTAAAAGTTAAAATGTTTTTAAAATCATAATGAAACTCATTATTATGTAAAATTAACACGTGCTCATAAAACTTTTTTTTTTTTTTTGGTCTTTTTGAGACAGAGTCTCCCAGTTGGCCTAGAATTCACCATGTAGATCAGGCTGGCCTCAAACTCACAAATATCTGCCTGCCTCTGCCTCTCGAGTGCTGGGATTAAAGATGTGTGCCACCCCACCCCTCCGGCTTTAATAAAACTTTTTATTAAAATGTTTTATTTATTTTATTTTATATGTATGTGTGTATTGCCTGCATGTAGGTAGGGCACCTGTTTCATGCATTGCCCAAGGAGGACAGAAGAGGGTGTTGGAATCCCTGGAATTGGAGTTGCAGACAATTGTTAGCCACCATGTGGATGCTGGGAATTGAACCCAGGTCCTCTGCAAAAGCAGTCAGTGCCCTTAAAGGCTGAGCCATCTCTCCAGACCACTAATAAAACTTTAAAAGAATTGTAGATTAGTATGCATTTAATATTGGGCATAAATCAGTAAAATTCTATGGGCTGCAAAAAAGAAAAAGTAGAGACACGTGGCTTTTTTTTTTTTGGTCTTTTTGAAACAGGGTCTCCCTGAAGCCCCAGCTGACCTGGAACTCGCTATGTAGACTAGGCTGGCCTTGAACTCACAGAGATCCACCTGCCTCTGCCTCCCAAGTGCTTGGATTAAAGGCATGTGCCACCACGCCTGGCTAATTTTTTATTACATTTTTATTTATTCATTGTGTGTATGCATGCATTCAGCATGCCTGAGCATATGTGTGCAGGTCAGAACATAACTTGCAAAGTGGTTCTCTCCTTCCACCATCTGGGTCCCAGGGTGGAACTCAGGTCATTAGACTTAGTGGTAAGTGCCTTTACCCACTAAGCCATCTCACCAACCCTATTTGTGGCTTTTAATGTTTAAAGGGTACTCTAGCGGATCTCTATGAGTTCAAAGCCAGCCTAATATGTGAGTTTCAGGCCAGCTGTGGGTCCTGAGACTCAAACCTGAGTTCTCTGCAAAAGCAGCCAGTGCTCTTAACCACTGGGCCATCTGTCTAACCCCCCATTTTGCAATTCTTTAAGCTTTCAAAAAAATAGACGCAATGGGCATGGCAGGGTGGCACATATCTTTAATCTCATCATTCAGGAGGCAGGCAGATCTTTGTGAGTTTGAGGAGCCAGCCCTAGCTGACTTAACAACTTTCGGGCCAGCCTGGGCTCCAGGTAGAACCTGTCTCAAAAAACAAGCAAGCAAGCAAGCTGAGCATAGTGGCGCATGCCTGTAGTTCCAGCACTTAGGAGGCAGAGGCAGGCAGATCTTGTGAGTTTAAGGCCAGCCTCGTCTACATAGTGAGTTCCAGGACAGCTGGGGCTACAGAGAGACATCTCAAAAAGACCAAAAAAATATATAAAATAAAATAACCTGAAGTCCATAACATTTTTTTCCACACCATATTTTTTCTAATTTCTTATTGTTATGTGTATGAGTGTTTTGCCTGCATGTATGTAAGTACACCTATGCATGCAGTGCCTGCAGAGGCCAGAAGAAGGCATTGGATCCTTTGGAACTATAGTTACAGTTATAGTTACAGTTAGCCACCATATGGTGGCTGGGAACCAAACCTAGGTGTTCTGCAAGAGCAGCAGGGCCTTAATCACTGAGACATGTCTCCAGCCCGTTTGTTTGTTTGTTTGTTGTTTGTTTTGAGGCAAGGTCTCAAACTCTCTACATAGCTGAGGATGACCTTGAACTGCTGATCCTCTAGCCTCCACCTTCCTAGTACAGGGATGACAAGTGTGCACTATCACACCTGGATCTCTTATTTATTTTTCTTCTGGGATAGAGTCCCATTCTGTAGCCCAGGATGGCTTGGAACTCACAAGTATAACCCAAACTAGCCTCAAACTCACTGACATCCTACCTTAGTCTTCCCAAGTTCTCGGTTATAGACATAAGTCACTGCATCCAGCCTCCTGGCCTTGCCAGTTTCCTCCTACCCCCAAGTTAGGATCTCATGTAGCCCAGGTGGCCTCAAACTTGCTGTGTAGCTCAGGCTGCCCTTGAACTCCTGATCCTCCTTCCTCTACCTGTCAAGTGCTGGAACGACAGGTGTGCTCACCACCCTAGATTTATGCAGTGCTGGAGGCAGGACCTAGAGCTTCCTGTATGCTACAGGAGCACTCTACCCACTGAACAACATACCCAGCCCCAACCTTTATTGTTTATCATGTTCATGAATGTGTGTTTTTGTTTTTTGAGACAGGATCTTCCTGTAGCCTTAGCTGTCCTGGAACTTGCTCTAGAGATCAGGCTAGCTATGTAGACCACAAGGTGCACTGCTTGCTGACTTGCTTCTCAGCTTGCTCAGCTTTCTTTCCTTTTCTTTTTTTTTTTTTTTTTTTTTTTTTTTTGGGAGCTCCCCGGGAACTTACTTTGTCCCTGTGGAGCCCAGGCTGGCCTGGAACTCACAGAGACCCGCCTGTCTCTGCCTCCCATGTGCTGGGATTAAAGGCGTGTGCCACCACACTCAGCTTTCTTATTGTTCTAAGTGCATTATCTTTATCTTTTATACCAATTGTGTGCACAAGTGGACAGTGCCATGTAGGGTGGGAATGGAAGTGTTGTGACATCAGTCCCCTTGTCCCCATAGTCTGCTGGCCTTTTTCCAGGCATCTGCCGGATCTTCTGGATTCTCAAAGAAATCCTTTTGGTTTTCACCTGGGCTGGTCAGCCAGGAGACAGTGGGTGGCTCTCAGAGACCAGGGCAAATCCCAGTCAAGGGTGAAGAAGTCTTTGGTTCTTGTCAGTTTCCCAACAGTTAGTAAACAAAGAAGGGGCCTTTAGGAAATAAAAAATTATTTCTCTTAAAAATATTGCCAGGACTGGCTGGAGAGATGGCTCAGTGGTTAAGACCACTGGATGTTCTTGCAGAAGACCAGGGTTTGAATCCCAGCACCCACATGGCAGCTAACAACTGTCTGTAACTTCAGTTCCAG